ACATACATACATACATACATACATACATACATACATACATACATACATACATACATACATACATACATACATACATACATACATACATACATACATACATACATACATACATACATACATACATACATACATACATACATACATACATACATACATACATACATACATACATACATACATACATACATACATACATACATACATACATACATACATACATACATACATACATACATACATACATACATACATACATACATACATACATACATACATACATACATACATACATACATACATACATACATACATACATACATACATACATACATACATACATACATACATACATACATACATACATACATACATACATACATACATACATACATACATACATACATACATACATACATACATACATACATACATACATACATACATACATACATACATACATACATACATACATACATACATACATACATACATACATACATACATACATACATACATACATACATACATACATACATACATACATACATACATACATACATACATACATACATACATACATACATACATACATACATACATACATACATACATACATACATACATACATACATACATACATACATACATACATACATACATACATACATACATACATACATACATACATACATACATACATACATACATACATACATACATACATACATACATACATACATACATACATACATACATACATACATACATACATACATACATACATACATACATACATACATACATACATACATACATACATACATACATACATACATACATACATACATACATACATACATACATACATACATACATACATACATACATACATACATACATACATACATACATACATACATACATACATACATACATACATACATACATACATACATACATACATACATACATACATACATACATACATACATACATACATACATACATACATACATACATACATACATACATACATACATACATACATACATACATACATACATACATACATACATACATACATACATACATACATACATACATACATACATACATACATACATACATACATACATACATACATACATACATACATACATACATACATACATACATACATACATACATACATACATACATACATACATACATACATACATACATACATACATACATACATACATACATACATACATACATACATACATACATACATACATACATACATACATACATACATACATACATACATACATACATACATACATACATACATACATACATACATACATACATACATACATACATACATACATACATACATACATACATACATACATACATACATACATACATACATACATACATACATACATACATACATACATACATACATACATACATACATACATACATACATACATACATACATACATACATACATACATACATACATACATACATACATACATACATACATACATACATACATACATACATACATACATACATACATACATACATACATACATACATACATACATACATACATACATACATACATACATACATACATACATACATACATACATACATACATACATACATACATACATACATACATACATACATACATACATACATACATACATACATACATACATACATACATACATACATACATACATACATACATACATACATACATACATACATACATACATACATACATACATACATACATACATACATACATACATACATACATACATACATACATACATACATACATACATACATACATACATACATACATACATACATACATACATACATACATACATACATACATACATACATACATACATACATACATACAGGTTAATGGACAGACCAAACAATTAATTATCAGAAATGTAGAAGTTAATTTTACACTCCATAATTAAATGGTTTGGTCACTGCCTCACATGCATGCACTTAAGCCATGGTATGGTCCCTTGAAAGTAGTCAATCTTATAACATTCCTACAAACTACTTATTTTCATGAACTTAAGATATATCCGTTACATTACTATCATGCAAAATTTACTGATCAAGTTGTTGTTTTTTTTTATATAGCTACAAATAACCTTCGTAGTCCTAACTATATCCTAGGATAACACTCCAACATTCCTAATTTCTACTTCCCTTTCATCATCCCTTGCTCGTGATCCTCTTTATTTCTGATTATGGTAATTTTCCGTGTTGTACACTGATCACCTAAGGTATTATTACACAGGTATTGACACTCCATTTTGATGAAAATCCTAGTTGGCAACTTCCGACCTAAGCCCTGCCTCATCACCATTGTCCATTGCAAATATTCAATGTATTTTTATTTGTTTCCTCTTGGTTTCGTTTTCGATCATTTTTTTAAACATTCTTATTACTGAATCATTTTCATAATAAATGCACTGAAATAACACTTACCCTAAAATATCGCATAAATTGTTGGGGCCAAACAATGGGGCAGGGGCAATGACGTCACTACTCGTATGTTAAGCCAATGACAGTCTGCTGCTGTATATAACTAGATATGTAAATATTTGTATAGTATACTCGATATTGTTATACTTTCCAGTAGTAAGACCAAAATTCCCCTCTTATATTTATGAAAACTAAAGGTTCCTTACTATTAACAACCATCAGAATACTCTTGGAAAAAAGTAAATTTAACTCTTGGGTTCGATAGGTTCTATGGAAGTGGAGATACCTGGTTATATGTACCTTGAGATCCCCCTTTCCTCACATGACCGTTTTCCCTTTGATTCCGACCTCGTGACCTCGATCTCTTGGTTTCGTAATCTTTGCCCCGTTTTGTTTTGTGATATTTTCGTTTAGCATTAGTTTCGTTGCCTTCTCGCTCTCCTGGGTGTTGATGACTCTGTGTTTGGGTGTCAAGGATACTTTGATCCAGAATAGTTAATACTGTAAAAGAAGCCTGGTGGTTATGAAAAGGCAGTGAACTTAACATGTATCACCTATATCGCCACGAAAATTGATCGCGTGGAACAAGCCACCGCTTCGTGTCGCTACGACCGTAGTCAGTTTAGATTTGTGATTCAAAGGACGTTTTCGTTTTCGGCCAAAACAGTCAGGAGAATATTCAGGATCCTTGACGAACGACCTCCGTGCCTCCGGTCGTATCCTAAGGCCACATATCAAGGAAGTGTGATTTGCAGACGGCGAAGGGGCGGCGCTGGGGTAGACGGGGGTGTCTTCGGAAATGTTTACGCAAAGGCCTCCCCCTTGCACTGCGCCGATGTTGTTCATCTGCAACGAAGGGAAAAGGGGGAAGTTTGGAAGATTAACTAATTTATCTGATAATCTATTTGTTGTCTATTATCATTTTTCATTTTGAGGAAAGAGACAAGATCTTTATTTAGCCTTTCCCCTTTTCTGTTTCACCATCAACATTTCAATATATGTTCTGAACCTCTCTTTCTCGCGATATAAAAATACATTTATACACAGATATACATGTATATATGTTTGTGTGTGTGTGTGTGAGTGTCTGTGTGTTTGTGTGTGTGTGTGTGTGTGTGTGTGTGTGTGTGTGTGTGTGTGTGTGTGTGTGTGTGTGTTTGTGTACGTGCGCGTGTGTGCGAGTGCGTGTGTGTGTGTGTGTGTGTGTGCGTGTGTGTGTGTGTGTTTGTGTACGTGCGCGCGTGTGTGTGTGAGTGTGCGCGTGTATGTGTATATGTGTGTGTGTGTGTGTGTGTGTGTGTGTGATATACACATACATACATACATACAAATACACACACATACACACACACACACATATATATATACTGCTTTACCCAGTAGTTGCGAGAGGGATGAAGGCATAATAGATTCCTGTTAGGTTCGACCAGTCGAAATCTAGATGAACACCACAAACACGACGGCGATGGAGGTGACGGTAGAGAGAGCGATGGGCGTGTTGGCTTGCTGCTTCTTTGCACCCATCTGGAATGGAATGGTGAAAGTAAGTACCAATAAAGCACGAAAAAAAGAGTGCAGAGACAGACACACGTAGACTGATCACTATGTATAACAGGTCTTCCCGTGCAGACCTATTATGTAGGTCTACCGGTAGAGATGACGTCAGGGAGAGCCGATTCTAATGACAAGAATATTTAACAAAGATAATCCTGGTATGATCTCCTTTCGTCGCAGGTCAAGGTTAAAAAAATCACTATCGCATCTTCATCTTACATTAGCCACATTAAGGGTAATGGAACGGTAAATCTTGAATCAAGTTGGCTTTTGTTAAACAGTTTATTCCGTATCAGCACTATATATGTTATTTTTGTATGCTACTGCTGCTACTACTACTATTACTACTAATACTACAACTGCTGCTATTGTTATTAGTGCTATTCTCGTTGTTCAGTCCATTCAAGTGTGGAAGAAAAGACGTCATTATCATCTTTACACTATCTTCATAAGAGCCACACGCCAATCAAATTATTAACCATTATCATAAATCAGTGTAATTTCCCTCATCATTCTGGTAGTAAAGAATGTCATTGTTAGCTCCAGATATGGTCTACTTCCCCCTTCATACCAAAAGAGAGGTTACTTTCATTTCACGGCCCCCATTGTCAGCCACTTGATATCGCTGTTGGTACCTTCATTTTTTGCCGAGTCAGCCCACAAAAGCAGGCAGGCCGTGCCACGTGTCCGACCCTCGCCCTGCCACCGCGACGCGTCAACTGCGCCCTTCCTTGTAACCATTTTTTCGGCCGTAAGACCTCAATTTTTTAAATCTTACCTTCTTTCTTTCCCTTTTACCTGTTTTTATAGTTTGTTTCCACGTTAAAAAAGGGTGGTTTTCTATTATGTCATTATCGCTCACGGTTGTAAGTTTTAAGATTTAACCCACAGCAGCTGCTCTTCATTATACACGACACGAG